ATATATTATTCAGTGTTTAAGTGGGTACACTAATTATCTCGAAAGTATTAGCTTTATTTTATTTTATTTTTTTAAACTTTTAGGTTTATGTTTTTCTAAAATCGTGAGGTGTTATAGTAACGGCATTGTTTATAGTATTTCTTCATTTGTAAAATCTATGAGCAATAACTGATAAATTCGATACCGTCAGACAAGGTAACAATATTAATGACTTTTGTACTGTGTACCTGATTAATTTAATGTCCTATTAACCTAGTGTCTTAGTCGATAAGTTAATAAATGATTAAGGTTCAAAATACAACATTAATCTTTAATTAATTGTTCCTTATTTTGTTACTTTGGATTCAACGATATCGAATTTATCACTAGCTCCTGGTTTTTACAACTATTGGAAAAATAATAAAAATCACCAATACCTTTAGGAGCTGTATTTCGCAAACCAATCAACGAAAAATAAAAATGTTGACACGTAAATTCATAAAAAAAAAAATGGTTTTATTAATTCATGATATTTTTATTATATGTTACCATTTGAAAATCAAAAGTTGAAAGGGTTTCAACAGTAAATATAAGGGTGAAAAAATTTTCTAAAATAAAAGGGTTTTAGAAAAAAACACCTAACCTAAAAGTTAAAAAAAAAAATTAATACTTTTAATTTTTCATTTTTCAAGATAACTAGTGTACCCATTTAAATGGATCACCATGTGCCCTGCATACTATTTATTTTTGCTATATCTATTTACGGTGTAATTATAAAATATAAAATCTTTACAATAAATAATTTTTCTATTTGAATTATGGATCACGTGATTTCAATGTTTGAAATATTATTAATTAAATATACAATTTATTTAAAACTCTTAAACTCTTTACAAAATTATAAATAAAGCGAAATACATAATTGAGTTCGTAGGACTGACTATGAAACACGATATACAATATGATAATATTCTAATAAATTGAGTTCTTTAAATTATAATCAAATATTATAATATGTGAAACTGTAAAGTAATAAATTACATCTAGACTCATCGAATATTGTTCACATATAATACATAAACATATTATTAATACCACAAGTAGATTTTATACAACGATACAACTATACAATCCTATTTTTATAACTTAGAACAAATTAAAAAGTTGATCAAATTATAAGTTTTTAATGTTTTTATTAATATAAAAGTTATTTGTAATTACTAACTATAACTGAAAGACATTAAAAACATATATTCGAATAATTTCTTTAATATTTTATAGATATATATTATATACCTATGCACTGTATATAATAATTCTGACGTGGACATGACGTGGTTAAATACCATAATATTTATAAATTTAAATTTGAGTTTAGACACAACACATTTCAAAACAACTGCGAATTGAATTTTTAAGTAAATAATTACCTGCCTTACGTTTCGTTCTTTTTGTTCATTATGTTTAAATCATTTAAGATCTTAGACATTTAAATTACTTCTATTATAGCAGTACTAAAAGTATTAAAACTTAAAAGACACCCTTTCGAGTAATGACTCACTACTAGTAGGAATAATATTTCATATTTATTCAACTTTAAAACGTTTCAAGGTTTCAACTGTTTCAAGTGGTTTGCAAGTTAGTGATATAACTGATATAGTGATATAAGTTGTATACTCGTATCTTTTTCTCAATAATAGCATTATACGCCAGATGGCTGATATAGATACCTACTTATATATAGGTATATAAACTATATAAACATATAAAATTATGTTGTTTACAAATATTTATTTTTAATATAGGTAGACATAGAATTTTTAATGAACCCCTACCAATCATCGTTGAAAATATATGTGTACGCCATCGCTACTATACTATTATATACATTGTACATATTACCCTGGTTTGACAACATAATTTGATGTATTCTGCATAGGTACGTCTATATGTATATAATATCAGAAATCAGCTGTTACTAAAAATTAGAATTTAGAACACAAAAAAAATGATCGCCATCCAGTCATTAAATTTAAATAATTAAGGTTCATCAAAACGAAACCATGCCATGAGAATTTTGGTAGTTTGCATAAATAAAACAACGCTGCCTAGTGTCGTAAGATGAATGGCGATAGTTACTTACATTTTCTATTGTAATTTAATATTTGTATGAATATTATAATTATGTATAAAGCTAATTTGAATTTTGAACGTAAACATATTCATGGGACTACATTATCAGGAGATGCGTTTTTTTTTTTAATAATAATTTTAAAACACTTGTGTGCCGAAATTGACTTTTAATGTTTTATTCATAACTATTATACGTTCCCACTTCCACTTATATTTTGATATAAGAAGTGCAGCAGCTTTCAATTTTCTTATATGTATAATATGTATGTTAGAAACCTGTACGTATAGAGTACGTATTGATATATATATATATTTTAGTTTTAAATTTTATATTCAAGAAGAGAATGTTTTTCTCGTACTCTCAATAATGTACAAAGTATAGATTAAGCTTCATAAGTTAATTATTATGGACTCTATAATGATACATAAGGACATAGATATTTATTATTTTATTAACACCGTTTTAAATTTTAATATTTGAAACTAGGTAATGAAGTTGAGAGTAGTACTTATACCCACATCGAACATAGTTATACTGGGGGGGGGGGTTCTTTGCCAGATCCCCGTAATACATTTCACCGTCACCGTTTCCCCGTTAAAAGAAGGATATAAGATATAACAAATAACGAAAATATAACACAATTTATTTTAATTTCTTGCTGTATAATATGCTTATATATCTTATAATTGCACCCTAGCACCCTGTACACGGACAAATCAACTTATATATATATATATGTTTAATTAAACATATACGTTTAAAGATATACGTTATCGATGTACAATACCTATACATTATCCTAAAATGGATCGGGTAATAAAACTAACAAATTGAAATTGAAATAGTTTAACGATCCCTCGATAATAACTGTCGCGTCGTTATATTTTTGTTATTCGCCGTTACGCCGTCATCACATTCATAATAGTTGCATAAGATTTTTTCAGTTAACCTATTATTTTTTTACTCACTATTTTAAAATGACTTACGAAAAAAGTATGTGCGGAATATATTTTTGAAAATGACTATTTACGAAAAATGAAAAAACTACATATTGGAAATGCATCAAATTCAAATATAATATGTACAAGTGTCGTGGACGGGCACTTACGGTAAATGATKAAGTTGTTCTGCATAAAAACACTCACAACCAAACACCCTGCAACATAACAGAAATTAGTACTAAAACTATTATTAACGAGTTGAAAAGGATAGCATCCAGTCAAGTAACTTCAACTCCTCATCAAATAGTTGCTAATATTATATCTACTATATTATCATCTCAAGCAATGTCTGGCGCTTTACCTTCCAAAGACTAAGGCGTTGTAAAAATGCACCTCCGTAAATCCGTTAATGTTATCAGAAATATCTATTATTAAGCCGTATACACTTACATTAAACAATAAAACCTTCCTCCTCTATGATAGTGGTTCTGATAATGTTAATCGAATATTATTGTTTTCAACTGAACAAAATTTTAAAATATTAATTTCCKACCAGTGTCATTGGTTTATTTATGGTATATTTAACTAATCTAAGTAGTATTTTCGAATTATTTTATGTGCCTCTAATACGAATACCAGTAGCATTAATTTTTATTATTATAATTATTACTCATAATTTACAAATATAAGGTATTGATTTTTGTTTTTGTTATCAAATATTTTATCATGTGAAATTGTACTATTGTTCTATATGATTGTACTGTAGTGTATTTGATGGGGAAGTGACCCGATACCTTACTTGGGTGACACTTCTCTATATCCTCCAGAGCCCTGGTGCCTTATTGTTTAAATATTATTCTATGTAGATTACAGACTGTAGTTAAGTTAATCATTTACTTTATTATAATATTTTTAAACACATTTTTCATAAAATGTTATTATCGTCAACATAAAATTGAGTCGTTTGAAAGTCGGGAATCAACACTGCATTATACTAGGGACTATGTGAGATAAGAAATGTAGAATATTAAAATTATCTAAGTATATTTGTAGTACGGCAGGGGCGTAATTAAGGGGGGATGAGGGGGATATATCCCCCCAGAGCCTATATAATGTGTATATTTATATATTAATTTTAAGCTTATGGAATTATATGTTTTATCGTGCTGACATCACGACGAAATATATTAAATATAATTAATATCAAGAAATCTATAAATTATTATTTAATTTAAAAGTAAATTTTAATTCTAATATATTCAAAATCTACATTTTGAAGAAATTATTATAATATTGTATAGGTACTAAATTGTGTAGAATTTTAAAGCACATTTATTAATACATTTTGTGTACATATATATTAGTTTAAGAATTTTTGATGAAATAGTTTTCCCAGATATTGCACTTGAAAATCTAAGTATTTTGTGTGGAAAAAAATGTTTATCCCCCCCTAAGACAAATTCCTAATTACGCCACTGTAGTACGGAGACAATATTAWWATAATATGATATTGACCGATTCCTGTAAAAAAATCACCCTGTTAAGACCTATAGGCTATAGTGATGAATACGCACGTACAGTCTGCTAGTATTGTTATAAACTAACAATTCAAACATATTATACTATATTATAATATGGCTATCACGGACTAAGATAGTACTTAGTCCGTGATGGCTATGTAGCTGGTACGTGCGATTCGCGGTGAAAAACAAAACAAAATCAAATCGCGTACAATGCACTTCCGGCGCTCGCGGCGGCGCAATGGCATCACTGTAATGCGTTCCGCGCCAACAATTTTTGTGATGTGCATCGCGGGTGGTGGGTGGTGGGGGTGTGCGAGGTCGTACATCACTCGTTGTAGTTAATAGAGAAATACGCACACGGCGGCGCGCGCACACACGCACAGTCAGACCAGCCGCGGTGGCCAGGTGATTTTTGTTTACAATGTCCTCTTTAAACCTCCTGTTGATACAATAATATTAAACATGCGGGACCGTCACAGTCGTCACACACACATACGCGCTAACAGTTTCATTTATAGTAATAATAATAATAATAATATCGTGGGTAATCACTTATCTGTGTTCGTCTGATGATAATATAATATTTGAAATTAAATATTTTATAATATTCTAGTAAATCGTAATATTCGTAATACCATAAGTGTTTTCGTTGTTTGTGAGTTGTGACACTTGTGATAACTGATACGTCTCCGCTTCTTTGGCCCCCAGCTATAGATTACTAATAACAACAGACACCAGTATCTGAGTACTTGTTAAAATATTTATATTATATATTTTAATGTATCGTTAATGTCTTTACTGTCAATGGTCATCGTCGTTTGTAGTCGTCATTGTATTCCGCTGGTCCTCGTAGCATACGCTGTTCCGTCGTACTAAATGATTATCGTTTCTTACAGCGGATACTCTAATGGACTATTACAGGATGTGTCAACGGTTTGGCTTGAGCTCAGTGCCCAGTCCTGACGGCCGATTCACTATTGATGAGCTTATCGGCGAAGGCACCTACGGCGAAGTGTTCCGAGCTAAAGACACAACTACTGGTAATTATTGACCTAAGCCAATAAATAGTTGAGGAAAGCGTTAACCTGAATTTTAGGCAATATTCATAGTGTTAAATTCATATTTATACTAATAGACCTCACCCCAGAGCTCACACATTTGTATGACATTTTAGGCCTTGCTCCACCTAGAGACATATTAATTATTAAATTACTAAATCTAAATCAAGATTAAAAGTTACTGTTTTATAAATATAATAAATTGTTACAAACAGTTTTTGCTCATTGTATTTCCTCTTTTTTGTACCTACGATAGATTTTAGATGCATAATGATATGCAAAGTATTCTGTTTAAGTCTCATCATATAATATAATAGGTATCTAGACTCAATACTAAGTGGGTAACACAGAACAATTATTCTAATGTTAATTTTTTTATAACATGCCTACCTATCTGCTATCTATTTAAAAAAAAAATTGCATTCTATTTAATAACAATAGATAAAATAATGGTCTTCAATATTTCTAAGTTCTGGAGTTGGTCAAACATCCCCATCAACCATATCTGCCAAGTATGCACACTGCACACCTATAGGGTATAGTATTTATACAATACCATAGAGTGTATGTAATTTAATCTTATTTTACGCTTTTGCTTAGATACAATGTCATATTTAGAAATGATTATGTAGATACTAAATTGATTTTTTTATTGTTATAGGAGAATTCGTTGCCATTAAAATATTAGAAGATATTACGGGCAACGAAGAAGAAATTGAAGATGAATACTTAGCATTGAGAGACCTCAGTCTGCATCCAAACATTCCTTCATTTCATGGAATCTACTTTGTGAAAGGTTCTAAACAACTCAATGACCAACTATGGTTTGTTATGGAAGTAAGTCTTATTTTGAGTATATACTTGTTTTTAGTTACATTTTACCATAAAAATTTACCTATAAGATACTTTAGTTTGAAAAGTGTAGATAAGCTTTTACATAGATAAAATAAATATAAAATTATGAAAGTACCAACTTCATTATTAATTTAAAATAGGTATACCTACATTTTTATTTTTTACCTACCTAACTAACAAATGTAGTTTTTATAAACCGAAGTACAAATCTATAATTAGTAAAACAATTATATTATGTTTGGCAGTTTGACTGATTACTAAAATAATGTGTTGATATGTGAAATAATAATAAGGATTTAATTTGGAATATAAAATAACCTTCTACTATATGCCTATGGTATAATCGAGGGTACGATTGATATGTATATTAGGAAAATTCTAGTTTTTGTTTGATTAGCACATCCCCATTATTTTTGATACCATCTCTCTACTCATAATTCTCCACATAAGATTGATTGTAATTATCATTATAATATGGAAATGAAGAACTAAGATAGATACAGTATATGGGCATATGGGCAGTGTATCACAAAGTTGTTAACATATTGGCATAATAGCATGTATATGCCTATAATTAATATAATTTTAAATATATAATGAATAAACTATTATATTATTAGGTTTTATTGAATTTATGAATAAATTAGGTTAATGTACCTAATTAAATCATAATTTGTTTAGTCCTTAATTACATACATATTCTATACTAATAAATATAAATAGCAAATTTTAATATTTTAAAATATTTCAGTTAATATTAAAATTAATTTAAATTTCATCAAATTAAAATATAAGAATATTCCAGGAATGTTATTTACTAGATAAGTTCAGTAATACAAAGAGATGTTTCAAATAATATGTGTTCTTTTTTGACTTTATATACAAAGATTATAATATAAACTTAATGTTACATTAAAAATAGCATTCTCTTATTTCAGTTTAGTGATTAATAAGTAAATTGACAGTTAATTTTAATGATCTTATATGTAAATGTAATGATCCAAAGATTGTCACTGGTTTTTTGAATTGAATTAATTTATCATTTTAAAAACAACACATTAGATATTTAGATGTATCTATTTCAACATATACTGTAGGTAAATATAATCTAAGACTTATGGGCCTCCATTTGGTGATCCCCGTACTAAACATTTTTGATTTAAAAATATGGTAATATGTGCTTAAATGTAACAAATTTAATTAATTAAGTTTCTTTTATATTATTTCCAAAATCGATTATATTAGTTTTAAACTTGATTTTAGCTATGTCAAGGAGGATCGGTGACCGATTTGGTACATGGACTAAAAGCCCAAGGAAAACAATTAACCGAAGATCAAATTGCATATATTTTACATGAAACATTACAGGTAAATTTGTTTGATGCAAAATAATTTTCATAGTTAATCTACTAGTTAGATATTATCTAATTTTTATTATATATCATAAAGTTATTGATTATATTTATTTTGTTTCATAAGGCTTTAGCATTCTTACATCGTAATCACTGTATGCATCGTGATGTAAAAGGACATAATATTCTTTTAACTGAAGATGGACAAGTGAAATTAGTCGACTTTGGAGTTTCTTCACATTTAGGAGCTACAATGGGACGGCGTGATACATCAGTAGGAACACCTTATTGGATGGCACCAGAGGTTAGTAATATCCAAATAAAAATTGTTAGTTGTGTCTTAAAATTATAAATGTTTGCACTACTTTGCAGCTCTATGTTATAAGTTTGGAACTCGTGTTGTATGTTATCTACATAAAAATGTATCAACCACCCACTTCTCTTAAGTTTGATTTGGTTTGACAGCAAAATATTTTAACGTTATGTCATACTATAAATGTTACTATATTCCATTCAAAATAGGAATGGTGTCGACAGTCAACTTTTGGCCAGAGACGTAGCTCATTCCAAAGTGCTGACCTTGTGTGTCAACTCGTCTGAGACGCGTTTGACAACTCATCTGTACCTTTGCGGATGAAAACTAGTTGCTGCCAACTACCATTATTATTTTGAATAGAGTATACAATTGATGGCATTATTTTATCYCACATTTTCTATTAGATAAAAAAACAGTAAAACTATTATATTTTTAATTTAAAAAAAATAAAAATGGTATGTTATGACTTTATGAGAATTTATTTTGGTAATGTCAACTGATAAGTTTTGATACTAAAAATAAAATAACTTGATGTGAACTGTTGAATATAAATTTATTATAAAAGACATTTTTCAATATTTTTACTATAAAACAAGTTTAACTTTTGTAAAATCTATTTATTACTTTTAGAGGTCAAATGTGAAAAAATGTTCAGTGTACTTCAAAATACCCTGGAAAAACCAAACTGAAATTTTTGAAAAACCAGTTTTGTACAAAAAAGATTTTGGTGTAGATCAATTAACTAAAAATTTGCAATTTTCATGAAATTTTTATATTAATATTTCTTATATATTATAAATTAAGAGTATTAACTTTTTTTGAGCCATTTATTGATGTACACATTCACAATATCTTAAAGTTACAAAATACATGAAGCGCTCTTAGCATTTCTATTCTTATCCCCCCCCCACACAAAAAAAAAACCAGTCCAATACACATAAAAGATAAAAGTATTTGCTTTTTACTCATTCAAATTTTTAATCTACAAAAATAAATAAAAAAATTATTTACATATTGATATGTGTTAACAAGATATAAAGTAACAAAATGTATCAGAGAGATTAGATGTGTTCAAATTTAATTTTAGTATAGAATTTTAAAATATGATACTTTCCTCTTATCCTGTTTATGGATGATTCTTTTAAGGGTGAACACTAATTTTCTCGAAAAGTAAGAATTAATATTTATGGTAATTTTTTATAAAATTCAATGTAATTTATTAAAAAATATATTTTTTTAACTTTTTATATTATCATTTTAAAATTTTTTTTTGACCGATACATTGCAAATTTTTTATTTCATATTTTGCAACAGAATAATTGTCCAATAATTTTAAAATATAAAAATTAAATTTCGAACAATCAGTTAATTAATTATAACTTATATTATAAAATAATTAAAATATATTTGTTTCATATTATATATAAACAATAAATTTTAATTTGAAAATTATTGAAGTAGAGTTGCTCAAATAGTTTTTTTAAAAGGATTATGACGCTGATAAGTAATTATTTAATATAGTAGGCCTTTTAGTTTTCTGTGTGTTTCACCGTTTAAAATACTGAACATACAATATGTTAAACATAATTTTATTTTTATTTAATTATTTAATTTAAAAATGTTTCAGCATATTACATGCTATCACAAGTTTGATTAACTTTTCTAATTACAAATAACAATGTGTTTGTGATATTGTTATAATTATATCTTCTTCTTCTTTTCTTTTACCTTCTCTCCCAACTATTTGACACCAGTCCATTCTCATATCACACTATATAATTTCAAACCATCTCTTTTTTGGTCTTCATCTTTTTCCATTCGCACTCTTGTTCTTTGTCACCGTCACAGTTTTATCTCTTCTTAAAACATGTCCTAGCCTCAACCTATTCTCATGAAATTTGTCAATTATTGGAGCCACTCCTATACTACCTCTAATAAAATAATTTCTTATTCTGTCCTCTATTGTCACTCCACTCATCCACCTTAAAATTCTTATCTCTGCAACACTCATTTTCCTCTCCATTGTTTTTTGTATATTCTAAAATTCTGATCTTGCATCATGTCCGGCCTTAAAACTGTTTTATAAAATTTATCTTTTATCTATTGAGATTCTTCTATCGCATAAAACACCTAATACTTCTCTCCACTTCTATCCACTTGTTAGGATAAGTGTCTGTCAATACAACTGACTGCTGCTTAAGAACAGTCTCGTCTTGAACATATTATAGGTTCATCTATATCTTATATACATACTATAAAAACTAACGATAAACTAAAATTAATCAATGTGGAATATTTTTACTTCAAGACAAGTATTTTACAAGGTTTATGTGTATGTCATGCAGATCCCATCAAAACTAGGGTCTACTAGAAAACAAGGTATATTAAGGTATATTAGACATTTTTAGTTATACCTTATAGTAACTAAATAATGACTGACCATGATGGTTAATAATAATTTTATTTCTAAAATGTGGGAAAAATATTTCTTAATCAAATAAGTTATTTCAAACATCTCATTACTTCATAAATATGCTGTGTATTTGAAATATGTAAGGTTGAACATTTTAAGTTTACAAATTTAATATGTATTAGTTATATTTAATGGTTATTAAAGTATGAGAGCTTAACGCTGGTGATTTTTAAAGATACATTTGAGATTATACTAACTCTAAGAAAAGTGTTCTTTTGAATGTTTCTCAAGGAAGGCACTTATTACCTTTATTATCTACTTAGTTTAAGTCTGATACTCCTGAGCCCTGACAGTAGATTCCTTATGAATTATGATGAAGATAATTTAAAATGTTTTCATAAATTCAATATTATAACTGACTTTGACTACTGGAGAAGATGGATACTCTTGTTCTTTAGTTTACAGTTGATAATTATAAGCCCATGTTTTTCACAATAGGCGCTTTTATCTTATTAAGTATATATTATATATATATTATATATATATATTTATATTTAGTCATTAAAAACGCCTAGGTTTTAATTTCTGTCGGGATCTTATCTTCTCATATCAGAAATAATATACCGTAGAATGTTTTGTAATTTTAAAATATTCAAGCTGTCTGCTTCACTTCATACTGTGTGCTGTACTCTGGTTCGGCTTTTACTGAAACACATGTCAGTTAATTGTGGTCCTTTTACGGCAACTTATTCCAAGTGGGTTCAGAGGCATTTTTTAATCATCTTTAGTTTGTACATATTTAAAAAATTAAATGCAAAGAGTGTTTATGCAAGAGTTGGTAGATACTTATTTTCATTCAAAGTTTGATCATTCCTCTTAATCAGGTTTTTTTTTTTTTTTAGTTAAAGGAAAAGGCTTCAACAACATAGGTTATTAGCCTGGATTTATTTTTGTTGTTCATTTTTATGATACTAATTATTATTCATTATGATAAGAATAATCCAATTGATCGTTTGGTGTGTTTGGAATATAAGTCCCTTACATTCAGTGCTGTAGTGGAGGGTATACGACGGTATACGCCGTATACTTTCTGGTTATTTCTTATAAACTCCGTATACCTGCTGATTATGGTCATATACTCTCTGTTGTAATGAAATTACCAAATAATATAAATATAAAAGTCATTAGATTATTATTAATATTGAAAAGAAAYAATTTAACAAAATCGGAATCCAGACAACATTTATGGAATATTTTTCAATAAATTTATTTAGAAAAAAATGTTTAGTTTTAATTTTAATTTTCACAATTAATGTATGTGTGTTGTGTTATTTACCCTCTACCAAAGTATTCRATCAGATTAAAATTAAAATAAAAAATTTTATTTTTAATTTTAATTTGTACAATTAATTTAATATGTGTATTGTGTTATTTACCTTCTACTAAAGTAATACCTAATGATAGTATGAATGTTTAATATTATAACTCATAGTATACCCTCTGCTTGTTTTAGGACTACAGCACTGCTTACATTATTCAGTTTGTAATTTATAATTATTAAAATTTGTCTTTAATGTACAATACATTTTGTTTGTTTGTTGATTGTGTATAATTATTGTATTACTTTCATGTGTATAGTGTATACTATTCAGTTAAATTGTTCCATAAATCATAAATGTATATGTATTTTGTGATAAATTGTACTATTGGGTATAATATCCATTTAAATAATAAAAGCTAAGTAAAAAATTAATATTATAAAGCTGTTTTAATACATTTGTAAACATTTTGACTAAGGATGAAATGTTACTAATTTGTTTTCTGATAAATTTCGGATGATTATTATAATGATCACAAATAAACTTATATTCAAGATAAAATATACATTTTCGACTACTTAAATGCCAATCAGGCACAGTGCTAGAATTTTGTTCCCCAGAGTATGGACTGGAGTAGATACGTTTTGTATTTGAACTAAGGATTTTTCAAAACTATCTATGATTACTAATAAATTACTCAAATATATAATATAATTAAATTGAACATAACATTACTATTATAGTAGTGCACATTTAGATCTGGACTAGTGACACAACTAGGGCTAAAATGTTGGGGTGGGGGTGCTATAGCTCCCATCTGATATTATATGAAAAGTAATCCTCCACAAGATCACAACCACTTATTTATTCACTTAAAAAAAGCGGGTAAGTCGTGGATGTAGCTCTGCTGTACAATAGGTTACAAGTGGGTTACTGTAATGGTTGGAATTAAATTTGAATCCAATGATATATCATTGTATACGATATATCATATATGTCTAGAATATATTATAGATTATTAAAAATTTTCAAATCTTAGATTTAAAAAGAAATTTTTTTATGAATTTCTAGTTTAAAATAATTTGCTTATTTTCGTGATTTTTACACATGTTGTCAAAATTCAAACTTTGAATGCTTGTAAAAAAAAATTGTGCCAATATATTTCTTTTATTTTTCACCTGATATTGTAAAAATATGTTAGGAGCCTTATACAAAATTTTAAAATTTTTGAAAATTGCATGGTGGATAGAATATAC